TCCATTTTAAGAAACTGTCGCTGTCAACATATTTTTTATAGTGATACATTCGTTGCGGGTGGTCTTTCTTGAATATTTCATAAAACTTGCATAAGACACAGTATCTAAAACACATGTCATCGTCGTTTTTTATGTTGATACAAGCCTTCTTTCTCATAATCCATTCGGGTAAGTCAAAATGTTTTCTTGCTCGTGTAGAGTCGTATTTGTCATGTTGTATCGCTATTTTATGAACCTTTTTAATTCTTAATCCTGACCTTTCTGTTTGTTTTTCTGCTACTGTAAATTCTATGTCCTTGCCCATATTGTTTAAAGCATTTACTAAATCATCTTCATTGAATATATTGTAACGTCTAGATTTTATAGAGTGTATTATTTCGTCTTCTGTTTCTATGTCATCAAAAACAATTTCAACAGAAGCTATCACTTTCATTGACTTGTGTTCTTTAAGGTATTCGTTTAGTTTGTCTTTTTGGTGTATGAAATAAGATAAGCCTCTCATATGAGGAAGCTTTATGTTAGATATTGAGTAGGTGTTGGCGTAAGATTTTAAAGCCGATTGTTCGTCGATGATTGTGGCTTTGTGCTTAATAGCGTAGTTTGTTAAAGCCTTTCTTACTAAAATGCCTTTGGAAGCTTTTTCAAGGATTTTGAAGCGTCTGTATTGAGGAGATTGTGAAACTTGTTCCAGTTTTGTTTTTAGTTTTTTTAACTAATGGCTTTTCTTTGTTATAGGGATATTCAACATCATTTATAATAACCTTCTTGTATTCCTTATTACCCTTACGTTTTATGTTTGCTTGTTTATCTGAAAATAGGAAATTCAACACTGAACGGTACTCCCCTAACTCCATTATAATATAAGGTGGCTTCTCTTTAAGTCGTTTTTAACAATCATTTTAAAGAAAAGACAATATTAGATAAGTAGTGATATGAATAAGTATCATAATGGTAAGATTTATAAAATCGTTGATGTCGGATATAATAAATGCTATATAGGAAGTACCACTGAAAGTCTTAGTCAAAGAATAGCTCGTCACAGGTGGAATTACAACTCCTACTTAAAATCTACCTCTAAATTTATGTCATCCTTTCAATTGTTTAGCGAGTTCGGTATAGAAAACTGTAAATTGGACTTATTGAAAACTTCCCGTGTCAATGCAAAGATGAGTTGAGACGCAGGGAAGGACACTACATAAAACATACTGATTGTATAAATAAAATCATTGCTGGTAGAACTGCGAAAGAGTATAAAGAAGACAACAGAGACCTCGTTTTGAAACAAAAGCGTATGCACTACAACCAAAACAAGGACAAGGCAAAAGACTACTATGATACTTGCTACAAAGACAGGCGAAGGAACGAAATAGTATTCGGATTGAATGTCACTACTGCAATTGTTTGGTAAGACAATGTTATGTCAAAATACATAATCAGTCAAAGCAACACTTACAGAATATGGAGAGGAAACAATCACAATCGTGGTAAGATTTTTATTGAAAATGCTTATGGCAACGTTTCCCTCGGGTTGTGGATTTTCACATAACATATGTGGATTTTCACATAACATATGTGGACTTTCACATAACATATGTGGATTTTCACATAACATATGTGGATTTTCACATAACATATGTGGATTTTCACATACCATATGTGGATTTTCACATACCATATGTGGATTTTCACATGCCATATGTGGATTTTCACATACCACATGTGGATTTTCACATACCACATGTGGATTTTCACATACCATATGTGGATTTTAATATGATGGTTAAAGGACTTCAAGTAATGGGAGCTTTGGTAAGTGCATTATTAGGGAGCTTGGGAAAAGTAGGATGGGAAATATGAGGAATGAAGTAGGCGCGATGGTATGAGATTTGGAATGAATGTTGGGGAGTTATTTTAAAATGAATAAGGCCTGAATATGTGTTAAAACGATGGTAAGAAAGGCAATGTTGGTGAAAAAACCCTAGAAGCCCCTTCTGGAAAGTGAATAAGGTGGATAGATAAAAATAATGAAGAAGGTAATATGGAATTTAAAAATTAGTGAAAATTTAGGAAAATAACGAATAAGGCGATTGTGAAAAATGACGATGTTAAGCTGTTAGGAATCGAAATAATAAAGCAACCTAGCAAAGTTTAACGTATTGGACCTGTCAATCCCCTTTTTACTATTTTTTTTTTTTTTTTGGGGGGGGGGGGTGTGTTGCAGCCCTCCCCCCCCCTCCCCGCCCATTTGCACAACACACTCCTCGCATGATGGGTTTCAAAGACTCCTCTGCTTGGAAAGGGGGGTCTTGGGGGGGCGCCCACACCCCTTAATTGCTAGCATGATGGATTTCAAAAAGATTCATACGCTTAAAAGGCGGGGGTTAGCAGCCCCCCCGCCCGGCCCATTGGCAAACACCAATTGCTCGCAGGAGGTTTCAACACGACTCATATGCTTAAAAGCGGGGGGGGGGTGGGGGGGGGGCGAGCACCCCCCCCATTTGTAGACACAATGCTCGCATGATAGGATTCACAAGACCATATGATTACCAGCGGAGGGGTTGCGGGGGGGGGGGGGGGGGGGGGGGGGGGGGGGGGGGGGGGGGGGGGCGCACCCCCCCCCCATTTGTAGACACAATGCTCGCGTGATAGGTTTCAAAAAGACTCATATGCTTGAAAGCGGGGGGGTTGGGGGTGGGCGCAGCCCCCCCCCCATTTGTAGACACAATGCTCGCATGATAAGTTTCAACAAGACTCATACGCTTAAAAGCGGGGGGGGGGTTGGGGGGGTGAGCTATCAAAAAAATTTATTTAACTATCAACAAGAAAATTGAATTATAACTATCACAAAGCAATTAAATTACTATCAAAAAACACTTAAATTAGCTGTCATGGCTGAAAAATGCAGTATTTCCGACTCGGGGGGTTGGGAGGTTTTAGGGCCAAGGGCTTTTTAAGGCTTAGGGCTTTTTAGGGTTTAGGGTTTAGGGCTTTTTAGGGTTCAGCGCATTTTAGGGCTTAGGGTTTTTAAGGGTTTTTTTGGGCTTTTAGGGCTTTTTAGGGCTTAGGGTTTTGTAGGGTTTAGGGCTTTTTCGGGTTTAGGGTTTAGGGCTTTTTAGGGTTCAGAGCTTTTAGGGCTTAGGGTTTAGGGCGTTTTGGGGCTTAGGGCTTTTTAGGGTTTAGCAACTTTAGGTTAGTTAAGGGGCCTCAGATTGCTTCCATCCTTCCTTCCTTCCTTCCTGCCTGCCTGCCTTCCTTCCTTCCTTCCCCTTCCTGCCTTCCTTCCTTCCTTCCTACCCTCCCTCCCTCCTTCCTTCCTTCCTGCCTTCCGTCCCTCCCTTCCTCCTCCCTTCCTTCTTGCCTTCCTATCTGAAAAGGAAAGTTGTTTTTTGATTGGAAAAAAGATGTTATTTGATTGGAAAAAATTTTTTGATTGGCATCCCCTGAAAAATGCCACCAGACCCTGTTGCGCCGCGAAAATTCTCGTTCCGCCAGAACCATCCAGGCAAACACGAGACCCTTGTGGAAGACTGGCAAGCCCCAAAAAAAACTGACATTGAAAATCTAATGTTTCTGATGTAAAAGTAAACAGCCGCTGCTGCTGCCTTTCACAAGTTTAGTTCTCTCCTTAATGGAACAAAAGATTTGTGACAAACCCTCTGGAGCTCTAGAAGTGATGAGCCGGCGCTGGCAAAAAGTCAGCATATAAAAACTCAGCATTTGGCAGGAGCGCCCACGTATCAAGCCTGCCATCATTGTTCCACCGCTGGCAGCCCGGCAGCATCGATAGTCTTGAAAGGACTGAAATGACCAAGGATTCAGGAGAATGCTAAACTAGAGCATCAGTGCTAGCAAATTGGCAGACTAGTCAATACACGAAGTGTCAACTTGCTGGGAGGCGCTTCTTTCAAACTCCTGATCTGCGTTAGAGCTCTGCAGGATGGCATGGTGCAGGATTAGAATTCGGCGCCTCTTCAGATTATCGGCACTGCCCAGGAATCTCTGCTTCGCTTGAAACATTATGCCAACCGCCGTAAAGAATTATAGTCCTCTGCATGCCGGCCTGCCGATCTTGCATTCCGACAGGAGGTGCTCGGTCTTGTCGGATGAACAGTCTGTGCATCGGCTGCATGATTTGCAGAGAAGTGCAAGCACGCAGCCGCCAAGCCCTGAGAAGCCAGTAGAACATGAACAAACTTGGCATGCCTCGAAGTGGCGTCTGCATAGCCGGGCAGGTGCCAAGTTCATTGAAAATCTGCACCGAATTGCTGCTTTTGAGTGGGCGACACGAATCATGAACACAGGGGCTGACGAAAGGCAGGTATCCGCATGAGCCGTTTCAAGTTGATGCTGAAGCGAATCAGCGGCACTTTTTCCAGCGCCTGCGTCAGCAAGCTGTGCAGAAACAAGTGAAATTCAGATATCCTGGGCTGGGCACTCGTGCCAAGGCAATCATGAATAACGTGTGGCGTGGCTTTAAGCAGTAGCGCGCATGAAGAAAACTCGCCGCGCCAATCAGCCATAGCCTGCCTGAGCACGGCCCCTGTTTTCAATGCTAGACTGGTTTTGCCGCGCAGAATCGGCTTTGATGACTCCATCTGTTTGCCGCACGGACTTTGTGAAACAAGCTACCTCCAAATTGCCTGAGGCCAAACAAAGAAGGCTTTCATGAGCAAGTCCAAGATTCCGCCCCCGCACAACTTTAGCGGTGCTGTCGAGTCAACCATCCATCATTTCATCAAGTTCAGAAGGGACTCTAACCGAGGAACCTCTTGCTCGCCAATGTTCGCGGAGGGCAGCTTTCCGTTTCTAATTTCGAACCTCACTCTGTAAGCAGACCCAGCTTCGCTGTACATGCAGGTTCGCGTCGGCAAAGACGGTTTCGAACTAGCGTCTGCCGATGTGCATAGACAGCCACACGTCTTCCTCTCTATTTCTGGCTCTCTCCATCTCTAATTGCCTCGCTGCATACGGCATGCACCGTTGCAAACATGAGTAGCACATCAATCCGAAGATGTTGCAGAATCCGAAGATGGTTCAGTGCCTGAACTTGCACGCAAGTCCCCCTTGTCGAGCATGAACCGCGCAAGCTTGCCGATGCGATCTTCGTTCAGCTCATAACCACTGTACGAATCGTCTCTACAAATCAAATCGAAGAACCTAGCAAAGCCGGAGAATTTCGCAGCAGGCCACTTCTTGACCAACGACTTTTGCGCCAACTTACCTGCACGCTTGATCTGTATGTCGAACTGTTTGTTGTTTCTTGATGGGGAGTGTGAGACGATGCTCTGAACGACCATGACGAGGTCGTCTCGCAATAGATTCGGTGCCTGCCGAGTCAACCCAGTAGTGCGCCATGCGTTTAGATAACACGGCGCAATTTGACAAAGTGTGCGAACTGACTTACAACGTGTCCAGGTCCGCAGCCGCCTCTCTTGCCTGCTTCTCCTGCAAACCATGGACAGCATGCCGACGCAAACAAACCAACGGCACAAACTCTCTCAAGGGCCACCTCCGCTTCTTTCTTCTCCTGCAATCAACAGAGCTGCGACAACAGAGCGAAAGCAAACCCGCACTCGTAGAGGGCACGCTTGTACGCTGCGCTGCACAAGCCACGTGACGAACAACATGCACACACGCAGACACAACACAAAACCCTTGGCTCAAGTGCCACCTTCGCGTGGTCAAGGGTGGGGCCTCTAAGGAGGGATCCCGCGTCGCTTAGCAAACCCCGAACACGATCACTTGGCCAATCGGGAAACGCAACATGAATTCAGTCACTTAGCAAACCTTTACGGGTCACTTAGCCAACTCTCAGTTTCAGGTTCCGGGTTTCTTGAAGGTTAAAGTTTCGGCCTTTTCTTTTAGGGTTTAGGGTTTCCTTTTAGGGTTTAGGGATCCTTTTGGGGTTTAGGGTTTCTCTTACCTTTTAGGTTTCCTTTAGGATTTCTTTTACCTTTTGGGGTTTAGGGTTTCCTTTTCGGGATTAGGGTTTCCTTTTAGGGTTTAGGGATTCCTTTTAGGGTTTAGGGTTTCTCTTACCTTTTAGGGTTTAGGGTTTCCCTTTAGGGTTTCGGGATCCTTTTAGGGTTTAGGGTTTCTCTTGCCTTCTAGGTTTCCTTTTAGGGTTCAGGGTTTCTTTTACCTTTTAGGGTTTAGGGTTTCTTTTTGGGGTTTAGGGTATCCTTTTAGGGTTTAGGGTTTCCTTTTAGGGTTTAGGGTTTCTCTTACCTTTTAGGGTTTAGGGTTTCCCTCGCCGTTTAGGGTTGCGGGTTTCCTTTTAGGGTTGAGGGTTTCCTTTTAGGGTTTAGGGTTTCCTTTTAGGGTTTAGGGTTTCTCTTACCTTTTAGGGGTTAGGGTTTCCTTTTAGGGTTTAGGGTTTCCCTCGCCTTTTAGGGTTTAGGGTTTCCTTTTAGGGTTTAGGGTTTCCCTCGCATTTTATGGTTGCGGGTTTCCTTTTAGGGTTTAGGGTTTCTTTTACGTTTTAGGGTTTAGGGTTTCTTTTACCTTTTAGGGTTTAGGGTTTCCTTTTGGGGTTTAGGGTTTCCTTTTAGGGTTTCGGGTTTCGTTTTAGGGTTTAGGGTTTCCCTCGCCTTTTAGGGTTGCGGGTTTCCTTTTAGGGTTTAGGGCTTCTCTTACCTTTAGGGTTAAGGGTTTCCTTTCAGGGTTTAGGGTTTCCTTTTAGGGTTTTGCGGGTTTCCTTTTAGGGTTTAGGGTTTCTTTTACCTTTTAGGGTTAAGGGTGCGGAGAGTGAATTACATGTACAAAGGGTACAAAGAGTTCTGGAATAGTTGCAACGTCAATGGACTGTTGTATTGTGGCTCAAGGATATGGCTGCCGAAAAGTTCGCAGCAAAAACGTGTAGGCCCTCAGGCTTGGGTTTGGGTTTGGAGGTTGGTGGTTGGGTTCCCCTTGGGGTGGTTAGGCTTAGGCCGGTTACCCTCTGTTTGGACCCCCCTAACCTGACCCGTGGTTTTCAGGGGATTCAGGGATTTGACTTGCGATCCTTAGGGGTCAGGGTTATCATTGTCCTTCCCCTTTGTGGTTGCCCCATAGGTTATGAGCCCAAATTAGGCTTCCTGCGTGGGTTTTTTGGTTTATTCAAGGGTCTAGGGAAGAAGACGCCATGGCCCTGTCAGCGGCGAGTGCAAGGTAGTACCACTGCCAACGGACGATGCTACGACTGGAAAAAGAAAGGATTATATGCAAAAGGAAGTGGAGCATCTTCGTCGGAGGTTGGTCGAAAGAAGAGATTTACACGAGGCAGACTGACTGGGGCTTCTCTAGTGACGCCGTGGTGAGCTTCGTGGTGAGGTCCCGGGATGGGATTTCAGATGATGTGCTGGGAATGTCAGATTCGGAGGACGTGATCCCTGTCGTAGAAGAGAAGGTACTGGGAACGTCGGCTTCGACAGACGTGGTCCCTGCCGCAGAAGTGTTGACACCTGAAGAAATCCGAAACCTGGCGGCAGATGAAGATCGAGCCCTTTCTGCAGAACGGAAACAGGAAAGAGCGCCACCTGCTGTAACAGAAGTTTTGGATGGGGTGTGGGAGCAGCACTTCACTGATGAAGGAGCAATGCATTACAGCAACATGATCACGGGGTCAATGGTATGGGAATGTTGAGCCCTCGGAACACTCTGGTCTTCTGGAAAAAAGGGAAACAGCTGCATCAGAGGGAGACAGAAGTTTGGGTGGTTCTTCTTCTGACAAGGACAATGTTTCTGGTGCTCAGTTTGGAACAACGTTTGAACTGGATCGTGAAAGCAAAGCGCTTTTGCATGCCGTGGAAGATCAGGCCGTCGCAGTTCCGAGTTGCCAAACAGGTGAGCAAGCAGCTGATATTTCAACGTCCTGGGCGCGCCAGGGCTGCCAATATCTGGTGTCACAACGTCTATGTCTTCTTGTGATGGTGGGGCCAATGAAGCAGCCGCCAAGGAGATTATTGATTCGTGTGGGATTTCCCAAATCAGCGCTGTCAATGAAGCAGGTGTGGGGGAGATCAATGAGCCGAAAGGTCTTCCACTGGCAACCATGGAACCACTGGGAGATACCAGTCCAAATGTGGATGAGGGGACTGCGGACGGCTCGACAAAAGAGGATTCTTTGCCTATGGTCAACGTGCCGGAAGTCGACACCGAGCAGGTTGCAACCGAGAAGGCAGAGGAAATCAGTGCAGAGGTTTCTGGACCTGTCAGAATGGCAAGCAGTGAGGTGGCTGCAAGCGTTCAGCAAGGACAGGGGGAACAATGCCATGGTGTATCTGGTGGTGAAGCAGCTACAGTTGCATCTGAAGTCCTGGCCACTGAAGGGATGGTGGAGGATTCATCAACTGGAAAAAAGGGCGCTGTGGATACCCCAGAACCTGGTGCAGAAGTGGTTTCGTCGCAACAGGTTTCTGCCAACGACAAACAAAAGGGGAGTGTGGCAGATGGTGATGGAGGAGCCATTGATGCATCAGATATCCAGGAAAAGCATGGCGGTGTCAAGTTCAAAGCTGCTGAAGAAAAGGAGGTTCCAGCTGTTGATGCGCCGCGCGAGAGTCAGCCTAAAGCAAATGGTTTGACTTCACAATATCAAGTTGGTGATTTCATCGGTGGAGAGGTAGTCAGCATTGATAGTCGAGGTGTATGGATCGACGTAAATGGTGACAAAACGTGCTGGCCTGCCACTGCCGAACAGCAACAAGAAATTTTCTATGGTGACTACATTGTGGACGCTAGGGTGACATATGTTGGTGAAAGCCGTCTCCTAGCTGACCTTGATCGTCCAGAACTGTTTGTAGATTCTGACGATGAAGACCAAGACGAGACGCACTGGTCCAGCTCACAGCTAATGAGTCAGAAAGGGTGGCATGTTGAGCAATGGAATCAGAATGCATGGCAAGATAGCCACTCTGGAACAGGATGGTGGCAGAACACCCAGTGGAGCCAGAAGGGTTGGCGCTGTGGTGGAGATCAGGATATTGTGGGGTCATGATTCTTGGGAAAAACACGGGGATATTGGTTGGATGCATTGGTCTGGAGCTGAACCTTTCACAGGACGAATGGAGTCCCCTTCTTCTGGCGCAGTGTTGGCCGAGAGGGAAAAAAGAGGTGAACAGCTTTGGAAGATCTTGGAGGATCAACATTTCCCATCGGTAGCTCTTTCTAAGGTTGTGGGAATGGTTATGGAACTGTTGCCTGACAATGAGGAGCTTGATAAGTTCATGGAGGATCACGTTGCGGTGGGCACTCAGGCTGAAAGAGCCCGCGAAGTCTTGGAAGCTGATCCGGAATGGCAAGCGCATGTTCAACAAGTTGCTCAATGGGAAAAAGAAAAACAGCCGAAATTTTGGCCTACACCCTTCTACTACCAAGCCTTCTTTGATCACTTGAAAAAGAACACTCCGTACGCTGGGGCGTGGATTGCCAAGATCCTGACGTCGATGTTCAGTGAGACCGAGGAGACGCAGTGGGTGCAGTGGTGGTTACGGATGGATCAACTGCTACAAACCTTTCACGCTCGGTTGGAAGGTGTTCGAGTGGAAGAAGGTGAAGTTACTTTTAACTTCGCGTTAGATACTGGTGAGCAGTGTGCAGGAGTGGCTCAGAGTCGTACCTCCTCACGGTATTCAATGAAGATGTGTAAGTATTACAAGCGAGGTACGTGCCGTCGGGGCGCTGCATGCCGATATGTTCATCAGCTTTGGGAAAACCTACCGAATGCTGAGTCTTCGTGCCCAACTGTCGAAACCACGGAGGCTGGGGATGCCTCTGGAGTGGCTTCTAATGATAATGGGCAACTTCCGCAAGTTGCGATAGTAGGTCCCGGCAAAGGTGCATCAAAGGGATTTAGCACATCTGGAAAGGATGAGTCAATTTGCTGGCGGCATGCAAATGGCTTCTGCAAATTTGGTGGTGGTTGCAAGTTTGCTCATAGCGACTCTGTTACGCTGGACACACATCGGGAAGCTGGAAGGACTCTTGATGACCATGCAAGGTCTCTTCTCCAAAAATGGGGAATGAATGGTCTTTGCTTTGAATATCAGCTTGATGGCACGTGTGGGCGTGGGGGAGAGTCTCAGTGCAAATTTGACCATAGGCAGATTCCTGAGACTCAGCGGATGTGGTTGCGTGATGTGTTGCAGAAGGCGCGTCAGCGAAGACGACAGGCACAATATGGAGAATTTTCCTCAAGTACAGCATTATCTGGGTCTGGACACCAAGCTTCAATGGGCGAAACGGAAGCAAAGGGTGGAACCCATGAAGGTTCTGGAACTCTCGCCAATGGTGGGACCTATGATGCGATATCTGATGTCAATCATCCGAGTCTCAATGGTGGAGCAAGTGCGTTGAGTGGAACCAATGAATGTTCTGGAACTCTCGCAGCGGATGGTCAACGGGATACATCTTCTGGAAGTCAAGGAGGTTCCGGAGGACTTTTGACTGATGGAGCGCCTCACGGAGAATAAAACGGTACTCAGGATGGTCCTGAGCCTCCCCTTCTTTCTGCAACACAGACAAATGCACTGGTGGATGCGCAAGACG